CTCAGTGGGAAGTAGATTCTTAGAATCTTGTCTTATACCAAAATTCAAATCCACAATTCAAATGGTAAACATTCCCAAAACAAATCATATAGACAAAATTCATAGCAGCAAATCCTTTTAGACTCAGACATAATATTTTTAATTTTCCTGATCCAGACTTTGCAAAAATTCAAGTTATCTCCAAGAATCCATTAAGGCTATCAGCAAGTACCAGTTACTGCTCAAGGCTTTTTTCCTTAGCCCCTAGGCTTACGTTTGCTAATGTGAACACCACCTTTCCATTGCTGGCTTGTAAACCCCCTCAGGAAAAGATCAGGAAAGAGTCAAAAACAGAGCAACTTCGGGGCCTCCCCAGTGGCACAGCGGTTGAGTGCTCGGTTGCAAAGCTGCCCGCAGCCTCTGCAGTGCCAGTTCAATCCCTGGCTGCTCCCCGGCCACCAGAGGAGGGTCCCACATGGCGCGCAGACCTCTCCTGCCTCCCACTGCTCCCCTCAGCAGTGTGCTTCAGTCCTTCTGCCTGCTGTGCTCCCCACTCTGGCTCTGGTGAATTCTCTCACCCTCCCGTGTTTCTGACTGTACCCAGTGCTTGTATAAATAAATAATTAAATCTTTAAAAAAAAAAAAAGAGCAACTTCAAAACAATATATCACTGAAGAACAATTATTACCTTTAGAAATGTTAATGAGATAGCAGAGATCACTAAAAAAAGTCCAAAATCCTAGTAACAAGAATTTCTGAGTTTTAGAGAAGCCCACCAAGTGGCCTCAGGCCCCATCTTTAATCTGGCCACATGGTCCAATGTAATACCAACTTTTGAGTAAAACTGCTACACAGAACAATTTCCACAAAATTAAACCCCTTAGCAAGTGACTTCAAACAAATTACACAGACACACAGAATATTCACAAGGCCTGAACCAGTTTTTTTAAACAGCAAATCCTCATATATCTGAAACAAACTCACCAAAGAAACCAAAAACCACATTTGCGCTTATGGTAGCCAGTGCCATGGGGAAGCCAACTTTCCCCATGGGGCTGACTAACCATGGATGACTGCAGCCCCATGTTGGGCACCAAGTCTGTTACAAGGCAGGGAGAGAGACACCTGTGAACCCCCAAACCTGCCTGCTCTAAATAGGTGCTGTCACCCACCATGTCAAGACAAACCATATAAGAACTTTAATAGAAAGTGTTACAGGGCAGGGAGAGGGGCACCCCAGACCCCGCAAAACTGCCTCTTTAAATAAGTTCTGCCATCTGCTGCATCAACACAAAACATATGAGACTTCAATGAAAAGGAACTTTAAGACAATTAGTAAACAATAAAGAAAAGGCAAAGACTAGTCTAGAAAGCAAAGACTTGCTTTCTAAATCAAGCACCCATCCCCTCGTGGGTAAAAGTCCACCCAAGCAGGATTGACCCAGAACAAAATCCCAAAGCCTGCCCCAAGTCTAAAGCATCTTCTACTGGGGGACCCTCAGAAAAGGATCAGAAACAACCAGACAAGTCTGGGAGGAAAGAAGCAAAATCAAAATCAAGACAAAAACTGCCATTGTCATCTCCCCACTGGTCTCTCACCCACATCTGTTTCAACCAGTCCAGGACCAAAAGGCAGTTTTTTCATGTGTCTCTGCTCCATGTGCCTCCTCCAGGTGTCCTTCTGGCTCTCCATCTTGCTTCCTTCCTTCCTCAGTCTCCTCTGCAGCTTCTTCTCTCACTGCTCAGCTCCACCCTCCTTTTAGGTGGGGAAGGAAACCTGAGGACCACCACACTGTTACAAAAGGAACTTTAATACAATTAGGGAACAATACAGAAAAGACAAAGAATATAGTTTCTAAATCAAGCACCCAAAGTTATTCATCCCTTCATGGGTAAAATTCTACTCAAATAGTATTGGCCTAAAGCAAGGCCTGAAAGCCTGTTATAAGTCCAAAGCACCTTCTGGTAAGGACCCACAGAAAAGGATCAGAAACAACCACACAAGTCGGGGAGAAAAAGAGCAAAATTAAAATCAAGATAAAAGCTGCCATTGTTAATCTCCCCAAGCGTTTCTCAACCACATCTGTTTCAACCAGTCCAAGTACAGCTTCTTCACATGTCTCTCTGGTCCTTGTGACTCCTTCAGATTTCCTTCTTGCTCTCCATCCTGCTTCCTTCCTTCCTGAGTCTACTCTCTGCTTTTTCTCTTCCTTGCTCAGCTACACCCTATTTAAGTGAGGCAGATGACAAGGAGCATCCCCTTTTCCTGCATACCACCCTGTTACACTGGCACCCAGGTAGGAGTTGGGACCTGACACCAAGCTGTTCACATTCAGATCAGGGCAGAACATTCCTTTGAAGAGAGCAGTCCAGGTACCTATGACCACCAGGAACAGGTGAAAGGAAGGGGAAATCCAGGGTGCCCAAACAACCCAGAGATTCTGTGATTTTTATTATAAGTGGTTTTAATTATAAGTGACCACAGTAAATATACTGTGATTTTAAAAACTAAAATAACATAAAATTCAGGAATATTTAAAAAATCTATAACAACAGTTTTTCCAGGTATACACTGAAATGTCTTTCAGTTCTTAAACTTTCTCCATTATTAATTCACCATTTAATTTTCTGTTGAGAATTAAACCATAGTTTCTTCTCTCCCATGCCTCACTCTCTTTTCAATAGGTCAAGCCCCATTTAAAGTCTTGCATGCATGCTTGTTTTTGGTTCAAAACCTCATTAAGGAAATTTAGCCGTCCAAGGACAAATGGCACAAATTTTCACAGGGCAGCTAGCTGGAATTTAAAAGACAATATATGTTGTATACTATATAATAAAGGAGACAGGATTATAGGTGCTAATATCCTTCTCCATGGAAGGAAATCATCTCTGAATTCCTCTTTCAGATGGAAGACTAAGAGAAATTGGAATCACTCACTGGGATTAACATGACTATAGGAACCCATGATCTCTGGTTATCAATTAGCCCTTGGTATGGATGAGAAGGTCCAGGGAGATACAAGGGTATAGGTTCCCTTGGAGATAGCATTAGCCTCCCACATTTTTGACTTACTAAAAGTCATGACTCTATGTGTTCAACTGCACAGTGACCTCAAAATAACTTGACTATGAAATATGCTTCACTTAATGCAATTGAGTTACTGTTTTCTTTGCATAACAAATGAAAAAAACAACATATTAATTGCAATGTAATTTTATTATATTCTGTTCTGTTATTTTGAACAATCTTTTTTTTCCTGTTACATTATTGCATACACTTGAATTGTTTGGACCTGGACCCACAGTGGTCTCATAAGTCCAACATTTAGGAGAAAAATGATTTGTTCTATACAGATTGTTGTTTTGTGCGTTGATGTAATAAATATGAAAATATAGATTCTTCTATAAGGGCTAGATGGTTAGGATTTGACAAAGGGTAGTCCAGAATCCAATTTTATGATTTAATCTCCAGTCTTTTTGGAGGGGTAGAATGATATCTATATTTCATGTTCTTAGAACTAAATATAACAGTATAGTATATCATGCAACCAGGTGCTTGAATTACACTGAACATTCAATTAATGACAATAATCATTACAAGATATATTAGCATTGTGTGGAGAAAAGTATTATCTTTGACCAATGAATGTGCAACTCAGGAAAGCCTCAAATCCTGAAAATCTGAAAAAAAGCAAAATGTATATTAAAATTGTATAAAATTATATTAAGCTCACCTTTGATTCTCTCCCACTACTTCCTTTCCAATATTTCCCTATTAAAATTCACTCTCAATATTTCCTTACAAAAAATTATTCTCAAAAAGGAGAATTGGCATAGTGTAGTAGTAAAGTTTGGATTTAGGGTGACAGAAGCCTGGATCTCAGCCTTGTCCCATATTTGCTATGTGAACATGGGAAAGTTTCTTAAACTTTGGAACATCAGTTTCATCACAAATAAATGGGGGTTATAATAATATTCTAGTAGGGATATAATAAGAATTAACAATTATAGAGTCAAAAATATTAAAAACAAATACGACTTATTTTGGAGGGAAATGATTAAATCAGCATGACAATCAATGATGCTACATTGGTTTATTTAAGAGGATACCTGCACTTTGATATGAAAATATCAGTTGAGTACATGGGATGAAAGGGATGTGATGGGGTGTGATGAAAGGACAGAGCCTGATCTTCAAATGTCCATAGATTTCACACTTTAGTCTAGAGTCTACTGAATTACTGACTGTTGCCTGCTTTATCAATCTCTTTCATTTTTGTCACTTCCTTTTATGCCCTTTGCCCTAAATTACTTCCTCAGGAATGCTATTTTTATTTTTTTTATTTTATATATTTTTTACATCATTTTTCATTTTTGTACAATGTATGTATTTTCATCTAGGCTATAGTCCCCATACAATTCCTGCTAACTTCTTCCTTGTTCTTTTCTCCTCTGTTCAAATATCTTGTACATGACTGAGGCCTTCTGTGCAGTTGATGATCAGTTGATGCTTCTCTTTCCTCACAGCTGCTGTAGTGATTTTGTCTTTCTCTTCAAGCAGATAAATTATATCTATGTCTGAGACTTAACGTGTCCCATGAAGTACCTCAGTTCATTATCTCTTGACTTTCTCCAAGTATCACAAATGGGTACCCACTATTAGACATCATAGAAATGGCCCTGAGATGCAAGGGGATTAGTCAGGGTCGCAGTTAGCTTTAAGAGCAGAGGTGAATTGGCCTTCTCCTGTTGGGCATAGTGCCTTCTAAGTGCACCATGTGCGAATCGTTGACTTTGGAAAAGTTGTTGCCATCCAGTCAGGTCAACAAATACTCCTGAACAATGATCATAGACACTGAATTAGAAAGGATTCCAAGAAAATTTCAGTGCCAAACAAGGAATATGCAAATACTCGAGTCCTATATGGAGAGCTATTTTCTACTGAGTAACTACCCTCCAGAAACTTGGGTTCTATGGTCTGGAGCTGCCACACACAATTACATCAATCTTCATTTCCTCTCCTACCCTGAGTCTCTGCTTATTCTTAATACCTTCCTCAGAGCCTCTTTCACATCCTTGTTCCTTAGGGTATAAATCAAAGGATTAAGCATGGGAGAAATTATAGTATAAAAAAGGGCAGCAAACTTTCCCTGGCTCTCAGAATAACTGTGCGTAGGTTGAAGGTAGGTGTAAATGGCTGAGCCGTAAAAAAGGGAAACCACCAGGAGATGGGACCCACAAGTCCCAAAAGCCTTCCTTCTTCCAGTCATTGACTTGACCTTCAGTACTGCCTTACCAATGTGTACATAGGAGCCTAGAATTAGTGATGCTGGAAGAACCAAGATTATGGCTCGAGCCACAAACATCTTGGCCTCTGTCCCATCCGTGTTCTCACAAGCCAGCTTCAGGAGTACAGGCATCTCACAGAAAAAGTAATTCAGAAGTCGGAGGCCACAGAGAGGCATGGCCATCATGAGGCTTGACTGAATCAGAGAGTTCAGCAAGCCTGCCATCCAAGAGATGAGAGCCAGTATCTGGCAGAGGCGGGGGTGCATAATAGTAGTGTAGTGTAGTGGACGGCACACAGCAGCATAGCGGTCAAAGGCCATCACCACTAGGAGTACACACTCAGTGGAACCCAGGGCAAGGACGATGAAGAGCTGCGCCATACAGCCTCTATAGGTAATAGTCCTGTCATGTCCATGAAGGTTGATGAGAAGTTGGGGCACAGTGCTAGTGGTATAGCAGAGGTCCAGGAAGGAGAGGTGGCAGAGGAAAAAGTACATAGGTGTGTGCAACTGAGGTTCGAGGATAGAGAGAACAATTATGGTGGTGTTGCCAAAGAGAGTCAGGGAATAGAATATAGAAATAAAGACAAAAAAGATGGGTTCCAATTGGGGCCAATCTGAGAAGCCCACCAAAATGAAGCCCTCTCCAAAACTGGTGTTTAAACTTCCCATAGTATTTCACTTCTCCAAATAGTGAGACAATTTAATATCTCTTATGAAGGGCATGGATTAACACATTATTCCACAATTGTCTGTATATGTTCCTATGTCATGCATTTTGGTATCTATTTAGCTATTCAGTTTCTTCTGTCTCCTTATCCTTCTATTCTTACCTTTCTCTGCATTAGAATGGAAATCACTGGATTTGGCTCTCTTGTCTGATTTTTGGACAGTCCTCTCAATCTTTTATGTGATGATTCCTTGTCTGAAAGTAGACAACCTATCTTCTCCCTCATAACTTTGAAGGTAGGGTGAAATGTAATGACTCTGAAACCACTTTTAAAAAATTAAGGTGTAAAAACAGAGCATGAGTATTGTTATTCTCTTTTGCACCTTTTCTTGATTAGCTATAGAATTTCAGTAAAGCAGGATACAGGGATAACCAAGAATGATATCATAAGTTCGATTCTTTGCTCTTGATAAACATGGTCAGCATGCCAGTACCGGAAGCCCTGCTCTTGGCCAGCTGCCACCTGCAACAAAGGATTGAGAAGAATATAATCTATCCCTTTGGGAATAGAGGAAATATCAATGAGTTTGCTATTTATCAGGAGTTATGATGCCCCCAAATGCCCTCCCATTTCATATCCTATTGATAAATTCATCCCTTAAATCCCCAGAAAGAGCTATTCCTCCTTTCTAGTCCAATTTTCTGTGAAGTTTCTCTCTAGAACTTGTCATACTCAATGAAGTCTTCTACTCTGAGCTGTGAGTTCTTCAGTGATTGAGAATATTCTGAATATAAAAATAAACATCAGCTTTCTTCCTTTATGGTACACAAAAGGTGAGTTTCATCCATGGCATGTAGCATATAATAAATAGATTTAGTTGAAGAAAACATATGATTCTCACCACAAATCTCATGAAATTTCTTATCCTCTAAGACATCTGCAGATTACTAATATATTTCGACAGACTATGGAAGCAGTCTATGAATAAAAAGGTGATCTCCTCAAGATTGATATTTCTTGTTATAAAAACCTAAACAGGATTATAAAAAGTACACCAGAAGGCAATAAACACAACTGGTGATCGATAGTAGTCTACCATGTACACCACAAAATTTTTGCCTAATTAACTTATTTTCATTTTGTTAAATTTACTGATTTTAAAGATGATCAGTGGATCAAAGCTGGATTGATGATTCTTTCAAGCTGTGTTTTTGCCACCCCTGATTTTGAAATGGCTATAACATTGGAGTACAATGGCTTGCAATTTCATAGTCAGATTCCTAGAGATAATTATATCAATGACCAGCTGTTCCCATTGTTCTGAAAAGTCACTTCTGTTATTTTGACTAACTTACTCTCCATCTATTGCAATATGGTTTTGTCATCATGCCTCATTATGGGGAAATCTAGTGCACATTTTCAGCTCTTCATCAAGGCATTTTATCTGTAGATTGTTGCCTCTTTCTACACAATACTTCCCTGGTATCCTAGATATCTTCCTGCTTCTCTACTCATCTCTTGGTCTCTTGCCTGTGTATTGTTTACATTTGGCTTTCCTCCTCAGGACTCTATACTATGTCCTCTACTTTTAATGTCCAAAGATTCTTCTTCAAAAGTGCCATACACCCCAGGATATGGATCAAAGGATGATAACAAATGTTTCTCCATCCACAACTCTCTTCTGAACTTTTAATCTCTTTAATTCATTTTTATGCCAGTCACTTCTCATTTGATATCCCCTAATATCTCAAAATAAGAATATCTAATATTAAATTTACAGTCTTCCCCTTAAAAAATTGGCATCCTCCTAGTGCACTATTTCAAGGAGTAATAATACCAAACCACATAGTTTAACACATTAAAACACTAGTCATCAGCCTCTAGGCCCTCATTCTGGAGTTAGGTCAAAAGTTAGCTGTCATTTCCTTAAGGGGCGGTTCTCAACCAGTGATAATTTTATCCCTTAGAAGACATTTGAAAATGTCTGGAGACATTTTGTTGACAACTAGTAGGTTGAGACCAGGATTGCTGGTAAATATCCTATATAATACACTGCACATCCAAAAGAATTATTTGGCCCCAAATTTCAATAGTGCTGAGATTGAGAAACCGTCTTCTGAATGGTATTGTTTAATTCCTTAACTTAGCATAACTTATAGCTGAGTCTCTTGCCATATGATCCTATGGTGCACTATACTTTACTATTCATCATGTCCAACTCAATTTCTGATTTAATTGTTCCTCTACTCTACTGTAGTAGAGCTTAAAGATAGTGGGTCTCTGTATATCTTGTTGACGTTAATTACAGCTTTAGTACCTAGAACAAAGACTGGTACAAAATTGTTCAATAATTAAAGCTGTCAAGCAATCGAAAAAGATAAACACATGCAGTTTGCAGTAACATGGATGGAGCTAGAAGGGATCATGCTCAGCGAAATAAGTCAGAAAGAAAAAGAAAAATACCGGATTGTCTCACTCATAGCAGGAATTCAGAAAACCTAAATAAGAGACCAGGAAAAAGACTAATCAATACAAAGTAAAAATCAAAATCAACAAGCAACTATAAACCAGAGACACACTATGGGGGGGAGGGGGAAAGGGGGGGAAAGGAAGGACTAGAGTCAAAATAAGGGGGGAGGTGCAATTGTATGGGGAATATAACCAAAATGAAAATGCATAAATTGTGCAAAGATGAAAAAAGATGTAAGAATTATATAAAATAAAATATTTAAATAAAAAAAATAAAGCTGTGATGCCAGCAGGAACCCATCTACATCAGCTCCTTAAGAGACTCTTAGAAAGACATGCAGTTTCAGAATTTTATGGAAATATTCTGCTTCTCTGGGGTCTGGTGACTTCTGTCTAGATCTGGTGTGTCATAAGAATGTTTCATTATCTACATAGCCTCTAAGTGGTTGATCATTTAATCCCTGATCCTCCATATTTACTTTCTTCTGTCCAACCAAGGGCATGGCAACTGTCTAGCCTCTTGGTGAACTGCCTTCTTGGGTAATATGTCCTGTTTCCTAAACTCTGGGGCCCTTCAGAGGATAAGCTGATTTCCCAAAATCACAAGATACACCTCCATTTCAAGCATCTCATGCACCACTCACTATATTGATGCTGGTGACCCTGGGTACAGATCATCTGATTGCACATTGGTCACAGGTCTAACACTTGGGTATGAGGTATTTTTGTTATACCTTTCTCTTCCCTCAAAAAGCTTCACTTTCTCTGGTTTCAGTTGCTGCAATCTGCCTTATGTTTTATCATAAATATAAAAAGAAAAACTCTTTCTAATTCACAAACTCCTTGAGAGCCTTTTCCATCTTTCAACAGCAGTTGCATGTTACTCCTCATGTGGGCCTAACATAGGCCTCTGGTAGATCCCAGGCCTTGTGCTAAGCTTTCATGTGAAAGTTCTATACTGTGTCCATCTGAATGGGGAAAGGTCTCATTAGAGGAGCACATAGAACAAACACAAACCTGCTTCTAGCTGACAACCCTCCAAATATTACAGGAAACAATTATGATTTGCAAGCTCTGCTGGGTTCCATATTCCCCCAAAGGTAAGTGATAGCTTCAAAATGTCCATTTCTTTTCACATTTCTTAAATCTATCATTCCAGTAAAAAAAGAAAAAAATGTTAAGCTGATATAATTAGCTCCTAATGACTCATATTTCCATCCCAGTCACCTCTAAGTGTTCACAAATGATCCCTCTACAACTTCACATTTCAATATGTAAGTACTCAAGACTCTACACTGAGCAGATGGGATTTTGAGTATTTTGCAAGTTCTTGGCAGTAAAGTTGGATTAAAACGTGACAAAATACACATAATCCAAAGTAAGTAAGGACTCGTTAGATAAGCACAAGCAGTAAAATCAATAAGGCACCTGAAAACATTTTGCATGAAAACTAGACATTTTCAATTGTATGCATTTTTTAAATTGAAAAAAAAAATAACACTTAAAGACAAGCACAAGAACTTTATATATATTCAAATATCTATCATATGAAATGATGGTGAACTGGCTTGTGTCCTTCAAAGGACCAAATTTTGGAACATAAAAGGATAGATATGGCTCTATATAAGGAAAACTTGAGACTGTTGATTTTCTGCATTATGGAGATCATTGTTGGTGTTCATATCTCCATGGTTTTGTTTCTGTATATATGTACATCTCTCCGTATGTTTGATCTCTATAAATGTCAAACTTCTTGAGATCAAAAATCATGTCTAATTGTTTTTTGACAGCATGCATTACTACATACTTGGCTCCACAGGTTTAATGACATCGCCTTACTACAATAGTCACATTTAAGACAGAAACGTTAATATATCCTGAATAAAGAATGAGATTATACAAGTTCCTTCCTAATTACCTTAATTATTAGGACATTCAGCTTTAAATATGAATCTAATTTTACTTCCTATTATGCCTATATGTGTAGCTCTCTTAATAGTTTTTTGGAGATTAAACTCACTATAGCACTTTACCAGGCACAAACATTCTACCAGTTCTTCACCATTGTAGTCTCTTACAAATGTAATCACTCTCCCAACCTGATCCCACTGATCCCACACAATATCCAATCCCACCCCCAAAGCTTTAGGGTGATTCTCAACATATTAAGTATTCATAATAATCCACCAGTGTTTCTACTATAAGGGCAGAAAATCAGTTTGAGTGCAGTGTGCTTAACTGACATATAGAAGTTGCATTATAAATTGCGTATTTCAACGCTGATTCTCCCCATTGAATATTGTCTGCTTCTTCAAAAATTGCTTGATTTATTTTCACCAGCTCTGACCATGCCTCTATTCTTTGTCTCCTGGCTCTGGTGTATACTATTTATTTTGCACCATAGAGCCACTGGTGTCATTGGATTTGAATTTTGAGAGGGATTTCAAAATCATTTTTTAAAAATATTTATTTTATTTATACAAGAGCTGGGGTACAGGTCAGTGGCACGGGAGGGTGAGAGGATTCACCAGA